AATATAATTATGCAAGTTGCTTGTTCACTTTAATCTACGTTCGCGATCAATGTTCAATTACGCCATCACTGGCGCACGCTTCCCTTGTTTACCTTATTTCAGTAACGAAACTAGTATATGGAAGAGGTAAATATAACGGTAACTTGCCACTCGATTTGCCTTCCTTGCCGGCAACTCGATACATACGCGGGGCTAAAGACGGCCACCATACCGAGTAGACGGCGCGGAAAATGCACGAAAGTGTTTTCGACTCGATTCGACGGGGAAAGGGGGAGATGACTTGGTGCAAGCCGAGGAAGACCGAGGGCCGAGGGCATTTTGCGCATCGCACCGCATCGCAGGAATGCCACCAGCTCTGTTGTTCTCACGACGAAGGTGGCCCGCCTTTTTGTGGCGGGGTATGCAGCCCGCTCTTGTCCTCTCTTTATCTCTATCTATCTCTCTCTCTTCCATTTTCTCTCGGTTTTGTTTCGTTTTCTTTATTTTCTCCTTCTCTTTTTCTGTGCTCTTCTTTCCGCTCTTCTTTCTTTATTCAATAGCACCTACTACCTCGAGGGAGCATACCGTCGAATTAGATCGACTTTTGACCAGAAGGGACCTTTCCAAGGAAAGAAAAAACAGGTAGACAATGCTCTGTCTATATCTGGAGAAGAAACATATTTACGGGCACATCTATGAGAATTTTAAACTCTTTTCGACTGATTTATCGCCATTCTCAGCATAGCTTTGATTACAGTAAAAAAATAATTCAAATAGTATCAGCTTGTATCAGTGTGCACATAGCGGTAGCAGTGCTAAAATTCAATCTTCGAAAAGCGCAGCGAAAGAACATTCAGAGAGGGCTCTCATATGACTACGCCATATGAGAATTTCGGGACTGCAACGTAAAACGAGTTCATTGTCCTCGGAATGTGCATATTTTGGGAAAATGGATCCGCATTAAGGAAACTCTCTGCAATATTGGTGCGAGTTAGGAAATACACCTTACAAGCTTAATAAACGTGTATCATTTTTGCAATCAAAAGAGCATTTTATCGATATTTAACGTATTTAACGAAGGGTAAACCGCTGGCAAAAATCATATATGTACACCAATGCCTACATACAGAAAAATATTATTGTACAGTCAAGAAAAGTAATTACTCAGTTTATTTTATTCCGTTTAAGTAATAGTTTGCTTCAACAAAGAATATTTTCTTAATAATAGTTTTAAGATATACTAGTCTTAGAAAAGCTTGTCATCTTATACTCAAAGAGAGAATTTATTCTTCTTTGAAGAAAATTATAAAACTTATTGAAGAATTCCGTATGCTTCTTTTAATAAAATCAGAAGAAACAAAATTGTTTTGCTTCCAATAATTCTATGTATTCTTGTTTGAAGTACTAGACGTACTAAGAACCAGAATATGTTTTGAGTAAATCTAACACTTGCGACGACATTATGATAGATTTGCGGATATATAAACTTATCAAATACTTGGAACAAATAATATTTACTTGCAGGTAGTATATATTTTTCTGTGTGTACACGCACCGGCATAAATGCTGTCCCTATCCTTGTGAAGTGCACGCACACTACAGGGACTCTAGTTGTGTGCGTGCACCTCACAAGGATAGGGACAGCATTTATGCCGGTGCGTGTACTAATGCCCAGTGGCCATTACTTAATCTTATTCATTTTATTTAGCTTGTTTTACCTTATTTTATCTTTATAACGATCCAGCAAGGGAGCTGCCCAAATTAATACCCAAAAATGCCTAGTATTGTCCAGTAATGCGGCATATCCGTACACCACGCAATGCTCTCAGCGGTTTACCCCTCGGTATTTAAGAATATCTTCACGTCTATTATTAAATATACAAAATTATTGACCGTTCATTGTGCCATTCGCCACTGTGAATTATCGGTACCGTATTTTCAAAAATTTATGATCTTTATAATAAAATTTGGTCCCCCAGGACGGTCCGAACACGTAATATCCATTGGGCAAAGCCTAAGTGAACTGATCAGTCATCGTTATACAGTCAATTGTATTTGCTGGCGGCAGCCATTATCGTGTCGCAAAATTGTAAAAGCGTAGACTGAGAGCCCATTATGATTGACGTTTCGAGATTTCGAGCGACATTTCCGACGTCATACGTCGTTTACCCGCTTTCGGGACCCGCTGTGCCAGTTTCTACGGGCGGCTGAGTCTTAAATTGTGTAAGGAGACTCTCTCGATAAGCTTTGTAGCTCCGTCTCTTTAAACTCTTTAGCTCTTTCCTCTTTTCGCTCCTCGCTCCTTCTCCTGGCTCTACAGTGCTACGCAGCTTACAGAATACACCCCTTGGAGACTTTTTGCGTCGACTCGCAGAGATCGCAAGAACAGAATATAATAAATCGATACATCATCCCACAAAGGATAGTAATAAAAAAAATTTGACAATCTTTTCCGTCTCGCGGCAAATCGCGTGCCTACATGCTAATTTGCCATTACGACGACGTGCACCTTAGGCGCACTCGCGTCGAGACGCGTCGCCGCTTTATATATCAACACAGGCTTACGCGTAGGCGAACTCAGACTTCTAGGAATGAACGGTAGAGTCTGAGGAGAACGGAATATAAAACCAGTCGTGATAATCTCCTGGATACAACTTTAAAACATGCTCGTACGCGATTCATACCTTCTCCTCAATGCTCAACGCCTTCGGCATTATTCTCCTCTAACGAGCGCCAATCCCATACGAATGATCTCCGGCTAGCAATTAACGATCGAACCTAGCATTTATTATTTTTACACAAAACGCACGTACAAAATACTTTGTGAAACGTTATATCAATCACTGATCAATCGTCATTTAAACGACAGATTTTAATGACGGGAGAACCATTCTACGATCATGTTTCGCGTAACGTAATATTGGCGGTCAATGAATATATTGTTGAAAATTCTCGGATAAACGAACGAGCGCAGGGTGAAAATGGATTGAAACGTTGGTGATTTCGCGCGAGTTGCTAGCATGGCCTAAAGGACAGCTTGTGCGCGATAACGAACTTGTCAATCATTCCGGGGTACAGTCGTAAAATTTCGTTATATATACAAAACACACATCTCTGCTCTCCTCTCGGATTACTTTAGTTATCGCCCAAGAATTATTACTTCCCTCGAAAGGTCAGTTGTTCACATTTAAACACGATCGAAACAAATATAAAAATGCCCTCATAGACTTTTGTACTGATTAGTAACCAATTAGTGGCTCACAAGGCGATTGAGAAAGCGTTGCACCAGCGAATGTATAAATTTACACGTTATCCGCAAACGTAATAAAAAATACATATTTTCGATTATGTCCTCGCGAGTCTCGCGTTACTTACGCGCTACGTGCCTGCATCGTTAATTCGTTGCAAGTGCGACACGAAAAGTGTGCATTATCGTGTCGAAGCCGGCTTCTTTTTGTGTCGCAGATTGTTACAACATTGCCGACTTACATATCGGCGAACGTAAAATCTCTCCGTGTCTTTTCAGCGTCCACGTAATGTAAATTGCCGTTTAAAGCGAGTAAACTTGTAACTCGAATACAATCTTCTTTTCTCGTCGGTCTCTAACGAAATTTTACTCCAATCAGTCATCCGAAAAGTTACTACGAAATTCGCAACTTTTTAGAGTAAATATGCGCATCTCGTAATCGCCAAGTTTTAAGCGAACGAGTTTCCGTCTGACCTGATGCTTTGTGCTGCATTATACATGATCTAACAATACGGTTTACGCTTCGCGTTGCTTCACTCTTCCAAGATTTGTGAAGCTGTACGTAAAGATAATATGGAAGTTCGACCAATAGCAAGCTGTTGATTCACACTTTAAATGCACATTTCAGTCTCTTCTTTGCATCGATTTGATCGACGGGTAAATCGCTGATCAAAATCATGTACACTACCCGAGTAAAAAATTGTTAGGGCTGATTCAGGCAGTTGAAGGCCCCGGTAAGGATGATAACAGGATTCCTTAAAATGGGATACCCTACTATTGTCACGTCAGGACCTTATTAAATATTGTTAAAGATGCACTAGTTTTCACGAATTCAGGGATGCTCTATAGAGTAATAGTATACTATTACTACATCGGGGCCATATTGATATCATTAAGAATGCCCTAGTTTCACGAATTCCCTCATAATAGGGTTTGATAAACGTTAGCCTGAATAGTACTATTACCACTCGCTGCTGCGACGTGGCGACCGCGCGTTAGGTTTCCTCGCAAGTAAAAATCATCCCGCATTAGTATAAGAGGCGAGCCGATTGTGTTCCGGTAACGAGTTGTCTGAATCATGGATAAGCTCAATGACCTGAATATATTTTTTTATGACACCGTATGATTTAACACAATTAAAAAATTAGTTTAAAAAATTAAATTTTTTTAAATCTCTGCTCGGTAAGCCTGAATTAAGGATAAGGATTAATATTCTGAAAGGGCCAGCTTGTGTTTTCTTATGAGGTCCTGATAATATTTTCTTATAAGGTTCTTATAAACTATTTGTTACAAACTTTCTAGGGGTCTGATTACTCGCGGTACGCATTACCCCGAGTAAAACATTAATAAGGTTGTGAAAAGGTCCTGATCAATTTTCCCTAATATTAATCGGGTCCTAATACGTATAAATTATCAGGCCCCTGAAAAGCCTGAATTAGCCCTAACAATTTTTTACTCGGATAATGCCTACTAATACCTGGTGGGCATTACTTAATCTTATTATCTCACTATAATGCTCCTGCAAGACCTAATGCCCAAACTAGTGCCCAAAAAATGCCTAGTGACGCCCAGTAATGCCGCAAATCTGTACACCACAACGCCCTCGGCGGTTTACCCCTCGGATTTGATTTACACAGCGTACTTTACTGGCACAAAGCCTAATTCTCTGCCGCGCGTGGCGATTTAAACGATCGAGTAAGAAATGTGCATATTGACAGTGATATTTCTGAAAATATGGATCGACTTGGGCAAATAGAGAAAGGAGCGCACTTACCTCCGTCTCTGTTGCTAGGGCCGCTGTTGGCGGCGTCGTGCGCTGCCGCGAGGTCGGGTACCGCGAGTATCAGCAGAACGATCCAGAGGAGCTTCCGCCATTCGGTCAATTTGAAATCGCGGTGGAATCTGACCGCGAAAATCCACCGCACTACGCTCGACGCACATCTCGCGGACGATTCACGGAGCGGAGTTCTATCGCGCCTCAAAGTTCTGTCGCGTTTCCCAACGATCGCCCCCGAGTCGTTCGCCAACGAATCGTTTTTGTCGCGTTTTCGCCTCGATGATCGGTGAGCCACGTGGCTGTCCCCTGTCCATGTCGCGTCCACCGAATCGTAACATCCGCGAAGACGCTCGCAGAGATCGCACGCTGTCGCCGGCGCCGGTGACGGTAGGGATGATACGCCATCGTCTTTCTCGAACGCGCCACAACTCGACGATGGACAATGGCAGTGGCAGGTGGAGAAATTAGCCTCCGAAGAAGAGAGGGCCGCAACGGTGCTCGACTCGTCTACGCTGCCCAGTCTGCGTGCGTGGCACGCGCCCGAAAAGTTCATCTTCGCAGGAAGAACGAACCTTCTTCCCCGAAGGGAAAACGATCCTACGTTCTCTCCGCGAGTTCAGAGTAAAAGGGATAAAGCGTCGCGTCTCGCTCGCATCTCTGCGCCGTCGACGCGGCGATGTTTCGCGCCACAGCAGCGTTCTCCCTGGTTGATTTCTCGCGAATGTACGCGCGAACGGAGGGCTCGAGCGTCAATGGCCACAGCTTCGACGATGATCGCTCCACGACGTCGTAGACCTTTTCTCTCTCTCTCTCTTCCTCTGTCTCTCCCGACGTTGACCCTGACGCGCGTTTGTCGGCGTCGGCTTCGTTTGACCCCCGTTCGTAGCCGCGCGGCAGAGACCTCGTAGGCGTATCGCGAAACAGAGAGACCGCACACGCACGTAGGCGATATATCAATCAACCGTGCTGGAAGATCGGCAGGTCACCTCCAGCGGGTCGTTACACCAGACGACTTCATCAACTGTACCAAACGCCCGCCGATTCGAGATGAGCGAGTTGACGCCGATCAGCGCGCACTCCTCACCATACCGACGGTCCTGCTTCCTCGGCGATGTCTGGGCAGTCTGTCGTCCTGGAACGAAAAAGAATATCAAGTTACCCACCGTGCACCTTGTACACCTCGATATTAATTAAATGAGTCGCTTGGCTCTCAAGGAGAAATGTACGTTGGCACATACGCTCATAATATAGGCTCGTTTGGACGTAACCGTAGGAAATGAGACACTTGAAAACGTTAATTTTTATACTCATTAGAGGATAGGACGAGTGCGGCACCGCACGGCAAAGACTGCGTACGTTACACCTTGAGAAGGGAAGCTATAATGACGAGTCTCCCAAGCAACATTTATGCAGTCGTCAATAAACGGTAATTACGATCGTTATCTGCAGCGTGTGGCGATCACCGGCGCCAAGCGTGTGTCACATTCATTGTGGTCATTATGTGGAAAAGAATGCCTCGCGAAGATAAATTATATCGTAACAAATGAATATTGCGCGCGTCCATTCAACTAACAGTCCGTGCGCGTAATGACGTGATATAAAAAAATGCATCCCGTTACGAGGGTTGCCGCTAATTATCGTACGACGGCGGGTCGCGGGTTGGGGACGTACTGGAAAATAACATAATTGTCAGTTTTGAGGATATGTTCGGCGTGGCCCGATCTTATCGACGTGAAATTCATTAACTCGCGCGAATGTACACGACAACATTTCTGCACGATAACATTTTAACTCAAGCAAATAGTTAAGCGAGGGAACGCCGTTTTTTCAGTCCAGTGCAGATATTACGAATTATACGGGCCGCATCGCGAAAGAGATGCTCTCTTTCTCTCTCTTTTCCTTTGTCCCGAGAATGATAAAAATGGAGTGTCTGTTTTGAAATTTAAACAAGAGCGCGATGCCATTTAAAATTACATTACTCCGTTCGTTTTGCACAAGATCGCGGTGACGATAAACGCGAGGAAAAACAAGCGGATGATATCTTGGATAAAAATTGAATTTACCTGGCGACCGAATAAATACGTTCGATAAACTGCGCCGCAGTTTCGATCGTCGGGTTCGCCGACGATAATATTTCGCGAAGGAGGTGCTCGTCGAACGTTCAGCCCGAGGGTGTTGCGGGATTTAATCAAGCCTGTTTACACGGAACCGGATTCATCCCTCTCCACGGATATTCCCCTCGGCATGTTTTGCCACAATTTTTCACGATAAATTACACACAATAGAGAGATTGATGTCGCGCCAAAATCAATTGCGCCCAAAGTGGTTTATATATGCTAATTTCGGATGACTGTCCCCGAGTATCACGCACTCATTTTCATGCGCATTTTTTACGCGAACCGCAGCGCTCTATACATTTTTATAACTCTTATCCATCGTACACCGCGGGGTCACGACGCTCCGTTACAATATCTAGAAGCAATTATAGCGCGGTGGTGTAACGCACGCGATAACGTGCGTGCGATTTACAAATTATCGAGTAAGATGCTCGAATCGACGATGCAACCCGCTCGCCATAGCAACACTGCGTATCGTCAGCGTACACGCGTATAAAACTGTGGGCCGCAAAGTAGATTCGAGCAGATGCCCCGGATCTTGCCTTGTATAACCCTTGCCTCCGCGGCGCTCTAGACATTTTTATAACTTTTATCCATCGTACACCGAGGTCACGACGCTCCGTGACAATATCTTCAGGCAATATTTATAGCGCGGTGATGTTAGCGCGCGCAATAACGTGCGTGCGATTGACAAATTATCGAATAAGCTGGGCTGCACGAATCGACGATGCAACACGTTCGCCATAGCAACACCGCGTGTCGTCGGCGTACACACGTATAAAACTGCCGGGCGCAAAGTAGATTCGAGCAGATGCCCCGGACCTCGTATACCTCGGCCCGCGGCAAGGTATACCGCAAGGTATACGGCAAGATTACTAAACTCTTCACAGAAAGGTAAACCCTAAGCTCCAAGAGCCGCATGACCAACCAGTTGTGTGTCTAGATGCAATATTCGCCTTGTTTACGATGCCGGCATCCGATGTGCCAAACGCTGCTTTTCATTATGCGGAAAGCTGGTCGTACACGCAGCCAGGAGATACTGCTAGACACGAGATAGAGAAAGAGCGAGAGAGAAAAGGCAGGAAACGCGCTATACCGCCTGAATAACGATGCCGCTTCTTGAAAATAAATTGCAGCTTTTCAACTGAATTATTTCAAAAAGTGTATGAAGGTAAATGTATTAAAAAGAATTCACTTCCGTTCGCGGAATCTCGTTTTAATCCAAGCTACCACTTATCTGCTACACGCATCTGACTGACGTGGTAATTGTTTAATTACAATACCCTCGCGTCATAATCGTACGACGCGTAAATAACTGATTCGTCGGTCTGAAACGTGATGTTGGAAGTGCGCCGAGAGGGCCGCGATTCGCTGCACCGTGGCGACGGGAGTGAGAATGGCCGCGCGCGCGATCCCACGGGCAGCTAAGTGGTTGCAAAATAAAAAATTTGGAGCGTCTGATCGCACCAACATCGTCTTGCTCGCCCGTGACTCTCGGGTTAAGTAACGTGATTCGATTAAGCGTAGATTTCTCTTAATAATAAACGGTAATTCATTTATCACGTATGAAGAGGGTCACGCTGTCACCCGTAACAAGATGTGCACGCTGTGGCACGCGGGACCGAGAGATTCGATTGTACCTCCACGATCGTGACCTGACGCGAACGACACTCGCAAACGTTTCTCGATTCGCGCTTCGCTGAATTCCTCTGCGATCTGTCCCAAGGGGGTAACCACTTGATGTAATCGTGGGACAGTGTCTCCGAAATCACAATGAAATCCTCACGAAATCCCCGTGTAATCGTTTTGTCGTCATTGTCAACTGTCTTCACTCGTTGGACAATAAACATTAAATTTCAACATTTTCTCAGCCTGTTTTTATTGTCCAAAAAGAATTTACTTCTTTTAGTGAATATCCAAATAAATAAATTAGTATGGCTCGTATGTGTTAAACACAAATTTCAAAGAATTTAAAGGACTCGGAGCCGTGACAGGGTGGCAGTGTCTAAATATTCTATTCTAAGTTTATCGCGAAAAAATATTACCTCGGCCAGGGTTTGAACCTGGACCTCCCTCTCGCTAGGCGGGCGTCTCACCCAATTCGACCACCGAGGCACATGGCAATACTCATCGCAATAAACAGTCTAATGTTGATTCCCGAGTGCCACCTATCGTGACAGTACTCGAGATCGAGAACTGCGCGCCGACTTGATTTGTCAGTCTTAAAACACAGTATCATCTCCACAATGTATCCCCATTATTACGTTCCCATCCGACTAAATAATTAAATGAAAGTAAGTAACCAAATATATATCATAGTTGACACCTATAAGCGCGTATTGTCTTCATAATAAGACTGAAGTAGTCGCTGTTGGAACAACGGCGAGTTGAAACGTTGATGCACCTTTGCGCGCAAATTTGCAACAATAAACAGTAAATACAAAATTACTTTTTGTCAAGACCACGGTTATAGCGAATTCGGTTGCTTGCACTAGTGCGCACTGAGTGCACACTAAGGCCTGTTTATAGCCTGTTCTTATATTTAACTTTGTCTTCAATACACGTTCAAAGAGTATTTAGTCAAAAAGTGATCCGTGTAAACGTTGTACAGACCATTTGTCTGGGTAAGAAATATTGCAAGAGGTATTTAAGATGATCTTTAAATATAACAATTGACTGGAAACAAGGCCTAGTGCACACTTAGTGCGCACTAGTGCAACCAACCGAATTCGCTATTAGACTAGTGAGAAAAGTGGAAAGCGAAGGGAAACACATGAACAAATACTAAAATCTTAACTGAAATTACCTACTACAAGCAAATACTTGTTAGTAAAACAAGAGAAAGATATTGCGAGTTGAAACGTGCATATAAAAAAATGATTTGCAATTAGATGAGATTATTTGTAATCGGATGAAATCGGTGGAACAATATTTTAGCTAGCGGTTACCCCCTTGATCTGCCCTCTCCGAGTTTCTACGTATCCGCGCCTCGTACTTTGCGCGCGAAAATAAATTAGCATCCGCATCTGTGCAGACGCGCGTCTGCACTCCCTACGGCTACGGCATGGAAAAGTTACGGGAACGTTGCGGGAATGTTGTCCTGTGTAAATCGGACCACGCTTAAATCACACGTTCGACCACTCGGTCACTTCTGTCGCGTCAACGGTCAGCTTGATATGCGCTAACGGATCTTTTATTTACGAGAGTTTTAATCATCTGTATAATCGTCTGATGAACAATTCAAAGTTTCCTCGTAGAATCTTTTAGTAAGATTACAACGTCGCGGCAACGTTGCAGAGAAAATTGTAGAGATATGGAATTGTCCAGTTCCAATGAGATTGCGGCACCGACGACTGAAAAACGTCGCGTTACGATATGCAAAATTTCGCTGCAATGTGCCGCCGGAATACAGCACCGTGTGCCGTATTCCGTATGTATGAATACAGCCATGTGTAAATTAGTCAGTCACGCAACGCGTGTAGGTCCGCCACCTACGTCGTCTTATTCATAGTTTTATTTGTAGTAAGCGAATGCGAAACACGACTCGAGAATGCGTTACACACGAGCGCGACGCATTCGTCATCGGTACCAATAACACAGGTCTACAAGGTTTTGTTGTTGGGCAGCTGGGGGTCGTTTCCCAAGTAATTTTCTGCGTAGAATTCGAATCCGAGGTCAGAATTGGCCCATCACGTCAGGATTTTGAGATATTTGAAGTTACATACTCGAAAAATGGCTTTTTGGGCTACTTTTGAGGTTATGTACAGGACGCACAAAATTTTTTAGCTCTTTTCTTTTAATTGCATCATTTAGTACTACTCTTTCCTTTCAAAATGAGCTGTCGAATGGTCATCTACGATTTTTCCTTGCAAAGTTACGGCCATTTTAAGATAACATGATGAATTCCAAACCCTGCGCCGGTATAGCCCAACAACCTCATGAGCATTCACATTAAACCTGTAAACTTTGAACTATAAACCCGAAAACCTGGACTGCAAACTGTATATATGGGTTT